TGTGTGTGTGTGTATGTGTGTATGTGTGTATGTGTGTATGTGTGTGTGTGTGTGTGTGTGTCTCTGTGTCTCTCTGTGTCTGTGTGTGTGTGTGTCTCTGTCTCTGCATACATATGTACAGCCTCTCATTTCTTGCTGCATATGCCGCCAAACAGAGATGCCCGGTAAACCGTAGGCAGAGAGGGAGACGCGCCCAAACATTTACATCTTCTCTAAGTGTTTCCCCATTCCAAGCACTACGAAGATGGAGGAGCCATGCACAGAATAACATGGACATATCCCTATCTTCATGGATGGATTGCAACCGTTATATAGAAAGACAAGCCTGTGATTCTGGCCTTGCCCATTCACAGGCCACGCAACATGACCTGCACCAAGCAGGGGATGTGCCCAGGCAGGCAAACAGGCAGCTAGAATGGCATGTGTGAAAAGCAATTCATCAAGTTCCGTCAGAGTGGATGCTAACGTCAGGAGAGTGGGGGTGGTAAATGTCCTTTCAACAGTCGTTGACGGACGAGATAGCGGAAGGCTCCAACTGCCGCTTCCTCAAGGTGAGGGTCCCGGGGAGGACCTCCCCGAACAAGGGGTGCACCAGCTTGGAGGCAAGCCTGGATATCATTGATGGCAACAGAATAAGCAGGTGCAGCTTCAGGAAGCACTGAGGCACACTTGGCGAGTGGGAGCAACGCCTGGTGGAGGAAGCTTGCATTACCAGCAATTCGGGAATTGCGGACACGTGCCATATGGGACACGACTCGCTCTGCTATGGCGAGGCTGCTTTGGCTCGGGTACTTGAGAGCCAGCTCACCGGCTACGGTGATTGCCAGCAGTTCAACCTGCTGACTCGATGGTTGAGTCAGCATCTCGACAAGGAAGTCCAAGCACATTACCATGGACGGCACAGCAGAGACGAGCACAGGAACCAGAGTGAGGTCATAGCCTTGGAAATGGACCAGCTTTAGCAGGTAAGGACTTTCGAGGAAAGCCTGGTGCAGCCAGCTGCAGATCAACGTCCTGGACTCGTGCAGAGGGCCGGGAAGGACACCGTCTCCTAGAGAGGGATCTGTCAGACATGCCTCCATAAGCATCTGTGCTGCTGCGCTGTCTTGAGCAAGCAAGGCATTGGCTATCTCCTCCCTCCGCAGGCCTACCCCACTGGTGCTGTTTTCCCGCTGTCCCGCAGACCCGCTGACCCCAACATTCCCGTCCGAGGATGCAGGAGCCAGGCACAGCCGTCTGTTTGCCGCAAGCAGCTCAGAGAGCATTTGCAACACCACGCGAAGGAGGGGAGGCGTACGGAACACCTTTGGACAGCAGGCCAGCACCACCAGAGGTTCATTCTGCAACTCCAGGATGAATCTGGCGGATTCAACAGTCACCCCTGTCCATTCATCAGCATGCCGACTGCCTCTCTTTCCCACTGACATCGAGCCACCACCTCTTCCTCTCCCTCCTACTCCTATCATCTCTCCTCTATCCACAACTCCAGCGAACCCCCTCTCTCCTCCTGCCCCATCACCACGCATGTTGCCGTCACAAGGTGGAGGACGTCCCTTCTCCACAAGATCCACAGTTGGGTTTCCATCTCGAAACGGCACCAAAGCAACCCCGCCCCTTCCTTCCAACGCTCCTATCTTCCTTAGCACCAGCTTTAGCAAACTCGCTCTGACTTCGCTTGCCAGCGACTTCCACCATCTCTCGAACAGCAGCTGCAACCCTCTGTGACAATTGGGTTCTAACAATTTCGGTACAATACTTACAACAATAGCCGCCTCCATTTCCAGGCTATCTCCTCCTGCTTGTCCTCTTGCGCGAGTACAACGACGGTTAGACTGGTCACAGAGCGCTTCGATCAGCACCGACGCTGGCAAGGGGTAATCGAGTGCATTCTCCAAGACAGCAGCACCCTTGGCCGGCGATTGAAAACTCCATGTCAGCTTATTATAAACATTGCCCACCCTTTCCGCCCTTTCCAAGAACTGTTGTTGTCCCCAAGCGTCTCCGATGCTAACCTCCTCCATCTCCTCCTCCTCCTCCTCCTCCCCTCTCTTGTTACCGCGGTTGACATCTGACAATATTGCTTCTGAAAGCTGCAGCTGCATATCAGGCGGCCGAGGACGTTTGCTCTTCACATTGGGATCCCGGTCACCATCCCCAGATCTCGCCCCACTCGAACCGTAATCCACTGAAGAAGAAAGCCTTTTTCTCAGAAACCCATTGGATGGTATCGGCTGTGATGAACAGATAAAGTTGCCCGAGAGTTGTTGCCCACACCAGTCAGTGGCGAAGGGGGAAATGACAGGAATGGTGGTGGTTGTTGCTCCGATATCTTTGGCCCAAACCCCAGCTCCTCGTCCTCCATAGTAGGCGAGATTTCCATCTAGGGCAGCAGCGAGCCCTTCGTCTGAGAAACTCTCATCATCTGCCATCACGTAAGGAAGAAGAAATCTCTCCGGAAGGAGCGAGGACGCATGGCCCAGCCACTGTGGATACACGGCTTCGTACGACTCCCACTTCTCCTCCATATACTCCATCATCTCTTGGAGAGGCAGCTCGACAAGAATCCCAGCCCACCATCCTTCGCTCTCCACATCATCCTCTCCCACTCCTCCCTTCGTGGACATGCCATAGCCTCCACCATCCACACCTGCATTTCTTGCCGCGTGCTCCCGGCAAAGAATGTAATAGGATGCGAGTACTGCCGAGGCAATGGCGCCTGTCTTGCTCCGACGGCACCACCCCCCAGAGCTAATCCCCGAGTCATCACCTGCTCTTCCTATTTCGTCGTTGTCGTCGTCTTCGGCATCTTCATAGCCATCGTGTTCGCCACTTCTGTCTTCCTCTTCTTCGACAAGGCCATCACTACGAGGCTTACTCTTACTGCCACTGAGCCATCGCTCGAAGACTTCTCGCCGCATCTCCAGCCCCGTTCTCTTCTTCAGATTTGAAGAAGAGTAGCAGGACCGACAGTAGAGCTTCCTCAATAGCATACTCCCAGGTCGAAGAGCACTCAGCAACATGGTACGCCGGAGAGGTTCGATACAGGCTGGCGCCATCACTCCGCGAGCTGTCCTGGGCAAGGAGACAGTCACCTCGGCATAAGCTTGAATCAGACTGGCTAAGGAAGTATGGATCGGCTCTTCGGCATGAATCATGTAATGGTACACAGCGTCAGAGATGTCGACGCCAAGACGGAATAGTTGACCCGCAGCTAGAAGATGCTGCAGGCTTTCGAGTGCCAGAGGGGTCACTGGTGCCACGGGACGAAGTGCCGCCACAGTCCTGACGAGAAAAGCCTGGTCAGTGAGCAGACCCGACGCTTGCACCATATCTGCCAGTTCCCGCAAGTTCACTGTCTGCTGAACGTAGCCTGGACACAGGACAGCGGATTCAACGGCTCTTGCAATGTTCGGAAACATTCGAGTCACGCACTCAACAAGCACCCAGAGTCCCATTTCCCGGGCACCATCATCACGCTTCCGCTGCTGCTCTTCCTCCCCATCCTCAACCTTCACACCCACTCTGGCCACCCCTTCTATCCCCCCTTTCTTACCTCCTCCTCCTCCTCCGCCGCCGCCGCCGCCACCGCCACTTCCTCCAGCGCCTCCAACTCCTCCTCCACCCGAGTTTGCATCCTTATCCTCGCCCCTTGTCCCTCCAACTGCCAGAGCAGACGCCCTTGCTTCTCCTGTACCCGCTCCACTGCCCTCTGAGGCAAATTCCATCCCATCCACTTGTCGTTTTCGTGGCAGCGCTATTCCGCCGCCAATGCCTCCTCCTCCTCCTGCTCCCACTGGCGCATTCGCCCCGGTGAGCCCACGTGGCCTGCTGTCAGGCTTTCTCTCGATTCCCCCGCCGAATAACACTCTTATCGCCCTGTGGAGCAACTGTCTCGTGGAGGGCGCATTTAAGCCTGGCACCATGCACAAAAGCGCTAGCCCCAGCTGAACAGTGCGCAGCTTGACGTTGTCATGACTCCCCGCTCTTTCAGATGCCTGAGGATGATGAACGGCCCCTGTCCTCTCCCGTCCCCCTCCACCTCCTAGGCTTCTATTGCTCTGTTGTTTTCCTTTGAGCCATGCAAACGACGACGAGCTGTTGTCCGCATGCCCTTGTTGTTGCTGCTGCTGCTGCTGCTGCTGGGTGGGAATAGAGGGAAGAGCAGAAGATTTGGTGACGGCTGCGACCACGGCCTTTGCCATGGCGCCGGCCTGCCTGGCTATGGTCCTTACGAGAGCCGATCTGGGTCCCGCTGCAGCTCCTGCTCCACCTGGGGATCCGGACAGAAGCGGCGCTGTTCTTGGTGGTCCTGACCCCAAAGTAGTGGACCTCAGCAGGTGCTGCCGAGCGTCCTCCGCCTGTTGTTCCCTCCCTCCCGCCGCTGCTCTCTTGACGTCCAGTCCAAGCGGAGAGGCCAGCGCCGTCAACCACATTACCGCCTCTTCATGGATTGGCCTGAGCTCCGCCGCCCTAACAAGCGTGCAGAACAGGCGAAGGTGGGCGTGCGCACGACCACCCCATCCTTCCTCTGTCAAGACCCTCCTAGCATCCTCGAGCAACCGCTCCCTCACTTTCATCGCAGGGCAAGAGTACTCCCCACCACCACCCCCGCTCCCGCCACCACCGCCGCCTTCCTTTGCCCCACCCCCTGCAGCAACCGGTGGAGAACGAAGAGATGGCAGCATTGCTCCTATCATCTCGTGCTTCTTCTGATGCGCCTGCTGTTGTTGCTGCTGAAGATGATGATGATGAAGGTGGTGATGATGAGGGTGCCTGGCTGGTTCCGGATGCTTCTGGTAGTACCGCATGTACGACCACAGCCATCCGCCGGACGCCGACCCGCCACAACCGAACAGAAGAGCAGAAAGGAAAGCTAGCTCGTCATGCAGCAGTTCAGTTGTCACATGCAGCACTAACGCAGGCAAAGTACGCTCTCGGACAAGCGCATCGCGTACCTCTCTGCCAGTCGACGGAGCCGCCAGAAGTACCCTAATCATGAGCTCAAGAATCTTCTCTGCTATCTTTTGGCAATCCGCTTCTCCCACCGTGGCGTTGACAGCCTGACTCACAGGACCAGCGTTGCCATTTCGGACGTTTCTAGAAGGAGGCGATTGTGAACGAGAATAAGGCGCATTCAGTGGTGAAGACAAGTGTTTGTGAGGTGCAGAGGTGGGAGCACCGTGAGTCAGAAAACCCTGTCGCCGCTGTGATAACGTCACCGGTTGGGTTGTACGTGATGGTGAAGAAATACTCGTCGTCGTAGACATACCCGTCGAAGGAGAGAGCGTGCTGGTGTCCCCAGCCAAATGCTGAGGAGAGGAGGCGTAACCTCTCGCCCCTGCAGCTCCTGAACCAGCACGGTGCAGCGGCGCGCTTTGCTGCTCACCCATCATCTTCCCGCCGACCGAAGAGGACGTCGACCGGGGGGATAAACTTGCTAGTGCGGCTGCCAGCAAGGCTAATGTACAGCTCATCATCGTTGGATTATTGACCATTATTGCTGCTAGCAATGTGCTGCAATGTTTGGTCCTCAGCAATCCTCTGATAAGGATGGAAGGGCTTAAGACAAGTGCACACCTGTTGACGGCAACAGGCAACAAGCAAAGAAGTTCAGGGAAATGAATGGGACTGTCCATGAGCCCTCCTTCCCCTACACCCTCCCTCCCGCCCATTATCAGACGAGATCCAATCTGTGCCGCACCCTCAACAACCTTCGGCCTCTCCTTCTCCCATCGCCGCAAGACAACAATAGAAATCACGGCCTTCCAGAACTTACTAGCACTCTCGAACGCCACGGTCTCCTCTTTGGCGCTGTAGTCTGCCATCGCCAAGCTTGCCAAGCGTCGCCTCATTGTCATCAGTTCCCCCTTCCCCTCCGCCTCCCCCCGTGTGACACCCCCCAGCACAACCCCTTCCTCCCCAACTCCCTCCTCCAGTTCTTTTCTCGCCACCTCCGCCTCCCACTCCATCTCTTCCCCTCCGCCTCCCCCATCGACCGCAAGCCCTCTCTCACTCCTCATCCTCCACTCCTCCGCTATTACCACCTCCTCCATGACGCGGGAATAATCGAGTGCGGCGTATTCCATCACCACCGCAACACGAGGGTCCCCGGCGATCACCTCGCTTATCGCCGCCCGACGGTCGCGATCCCGATCGTCGACAGCCAGCATAGCAAGGGCGGGAAGAAATGTTGCCACATCTGCCTTTGTGGGCGATATCTTTCCTCCCATCGATCGGGCTGGCGCTCCCCCTCGCAACCACTCAAACAAATCCGTCACGGGGATCGGGGAACGGGATTCCTCCATCTCTTCTTCCGCCTTCGCCATGAACGATGGTGGCCGGTCGATAAGAACAGCCGCGTCCTTCGCGCCAATACCAATGTCGACAAGGATGACGTCCTAGACACTAAACTCCAAAAGGGCCAATCAACAAACTCCTCCGCTCCGCCGCAAGACTTGATTGATTGCATTGAAGCCAAAAGGAAATGATACCTATATACGGTCAGCAACTGGAAAGATCACAATCACCTTCAGATCATCCTCACCTCATCATCAAAGCCTCAACAAGACCTTTCGTCCCAACCAGCCGCACCATCGATCAAGACACTGGAAAAACTCCCATCTCTCTCTCTCTCTCTCTCTCTCTCTCTCTCTCTCTCTCTCTCTCTCTCTCTCTCTCTCTCTCTCTCTCTCTCTCTCTCTCTCTCTCT